CCAACGATGGCAAAGCGTGGCCAACGATGGCAAAGCGTGGCCAACGATGGCAAAGCGTGGCCAACGATGGCAAAGCGTGGCCAACGATGGCAAAGCGTGGCCAACGATGGCAAAGCGTGGCCAACGATGGCAAAGCGTGGCCAACGATGGCAAAGCGTGGCCAACGATGGCAAACCGTGGCCAACGATGGCAAACCGTGGTAAACTGTGTCCAACGATGGTAAACCGTGTCCAACGATGGTAAACCGTGTCCAACAAGGAGATAAAAGCTTCAGTCTTTAATGAGGGTAAACAGCTGCTTGTCAAGCTCCATCATTTCCATCGTTAAATTCTTGAGTTCTGCGTCCTCTCTGGTAATTTTATTTGATTTGTCAAAACCCTCAGGAATGATTTAAGTCCTGATGAGTTCTTGAACACTAGCTTGTTGTTGTTAGCATTTTTAGCAGACAGACTTTGTGCTGCATTCAGGAGGTAACGGACATTACATGTTCTCAAATTGGGAGTAGTTGTTCTGACCTTTTTATGTTTATAATTATAAAGTTTGTGTGTAACATAACGGGTTCATTGGTAAAATAATATTAATAATTATTAAAATGACTGGTTGTTTTTCAGCACCGAGTATTTTAATTATTGTTATAGTGAGAAAGTAGTTTTTTCCGACACCACTTGAACGTTGCTCGGGTCGTGCCAGACGGGAAGCAGCTTGACGAAAAAGGATAAAAATAACCAAGCACACTCACCGCCACGCTGGCAAACATGAACATATATTATTGGTTCTGTTTGTTATGATATCGGGCGGATAGTTATCGTGCACCCCCAATTGAAACCTTCAGCTACTTCAGCAGATAGCTGATAGGACTTTTATACGTTATTAAATTATATAAAAATGAGAATTTTTAATTTTAGCGCCTCATAAGAGTTTAGCTCTGATTTTGCTAATTTAGCTGTTCTGCCTGTTCTCACTTTCATTTCTCCAGAACTCGGAACCAGTGAATTCCCACAGAGCATAAAAACAGGTTGGTCTCTAACAGAAAGTATTTTAGGACCTAAAAGCAGAAAATCTGGACATGTTTTGGACTTTGAGTCCCGTCAGAACCATCAGAGTCAGACTCACAGTGAGGCTGAAGGTCTGCAGATCCTCTCCGTCCTCCTCGTAGGTGAACTGACCCAGCAGCCTCCCCTCCTCTTCGCTCTCGTCTCTCAGACCCTGAAACAAAACACCCACCTTCAGTTTGACACAAACAAAACGCTGTGGCTCTGATGCTCGGTGGCAGCGGCGGCTCGTACGTAGACCCTGAAGTCCCGGGGGGCGCTGCGCAGCATCCCGCTCGGAGCCAGGACTTTGGGGATGTGCTCCAGGGTGACGGCCGTGGGGAGGATCCTCATGGAGAGCTTGATCACCAGGAAACCTTTGGAGCCTTTGAAAGCCCAGCAGTTTCCTGGATGGACGTCAGGCTGCAGGAAGCAGATTAATAATCTGACAGATTAACTGACGGAGTTTTAGTCCAGCTCTAATCTGTGGCAGGAGGAGGAGGTACCTGGATCACAGCTCGAGGAGACTGAGAGAAATACCAAAGTGGAACTCCGAACAGACTGAGCAGAGCCGCCTTGGTCTCAAACGTCTCTGAGCAGCGAGTGCTGAGGACGCTGCCTCCTGTAAGGGGGTGGGGGTAAAGGGAAAGAAGAAAGAAAAAGAAATAGGTAAAGAAAGCAAGAAAAGAAAGAAAGAAAGAAAGAAAGAAAGAAAGAAGAAAAAGAGAGAGAAAGCGAGAGAAAGAAAGAAAGAGAGAAAGAAAGAAAGATAGATAGAAAGAGAGAAAGAAAGATAGATAGAAAGAAAGAAAGAGAGAAAGAAAGAAAGATAGATAGAAAGAGAGAAAGAAAGATAGATAGAAAG